TGCTGCAAGTACAGTCCATTTAACCTTTGACTCACAGATGAGCCACTCTGGTCACATGGATGAAATTCCTGATAGGTTTGAAAATGACTGGGTATCAGGCCTAAAGCTGCATTATACACTGCCTGGCCCAAAAAAAAAAAGTCGCCACCTGGGTTTAACTAAGCAAATAGCTACGAGCCTTCTATTGGATAATTACTGCATGGGTGATTATCTTTCAGCTGGCAAGTTATTTAACCCCAACTGGTGCATTGAGTTGCTTCTCATTTCTTAAACAACCATGTCAAAAGACATATCGTGTGGTCGTGGAAAAGATGTCAGTCTATTTGAGAAGGGTTAAAATCATTGGCATGCATCAAGCAGCGAAAACATCTAAGGAGATTGCAGAAGCTACTAAAATTGGGTTAAGAACTGTCCAACGCATTATTAAAAACTGGAAGAATAGTGGGGACCCATCGTCTTCGAGGAAGAAATGTGGTCGGAAAAAAAGTCCTGAATGATCATGATTGGCGATCACTTAAACGTTTGGTGAAATCAAATCAAACAAAAACAACAGTATCACTCAGGGCTATGTTTAATAGTGAAAGTAAGAACATTTCCACACACACAATGCAAAGGGAACTCAAGGGATTGGGACTGAACAGCAGTGTAGCCTTAAGAAAACCACTAATCTGTGAGGCTAACTGAAAAAAAAAAAAGGCTTCAATTTGCCAGGGAGCATAAAGATTGGACTCTGGAGCAATGGAAGAAGGTCATGTGGTCTGATGAGTCCAGATTTACCCTGTTCCAGAGTAATGGGTGCATCAGGGTAAGAAGAGAGGCAGGTGAAGTAATGCACCCATCATGCCTAGTGTCTAGTCATCAATGCAACAACTTGGTAAAAAATTAATGCAACACTGGATGGAAATAGATTTTGTGACATTGCTTATCGAGACAATGCCACAGAGAATGCATGCTGTAATCAAAGCTAAAGCGAAATATTAGTGTGACCTTATTTTTATTTTTTATTTTTTTGGTGGTGGTGACTTTTTTTTTTGCCCAGGCAGTGTAAGTTTTTGAACTAGCGTCTAAATAACTTTAGTATCACTTAACATCTAAATAACTAAAAGAATCGAAGTGGCAACAATGAAACGAGCCAGAATTCTCCACAATGCTGGGAAATGAAGCTCCAGAGGTTTCCTAATTAGCTTATTTAGCACAGAAAAACAAGATTAATTCTTAATGAAAGAAAGAAAAGAATGATATCCAGTAGTGTGTAACAACCGTGATTTCTACAGCAATAATTCGATCAATTATCTGATCAGAAATTGTATTTAAGAACGTGAGGTCAGAACAGGGAGCGTGAGCAGCTTCTGACATGTTTTTATCTGAATGCATATTTTTATAATGAAGTAAGATGATGCATTTATTGAAGCTTGCTGTGAGATTATCAAACAAATGAGTTTATGTGGAGCATTTTTTTGAGCAGCTTTCGTGAAGCTCTGTGGCATTGAGGTTGGATTCTCGTTGAAGGTGTGTTTTCTGTTTTGTTCCTTTAGAAATGTGTCCATCCACCCTGATTTGTCCCCTCGTGACATTTCCAATCAGGTTCAAGGAAACGAGCTCAGGAAGAGAAGATGTGAAGAAATGTTTTGGACTGGAACCAAGAGCAGGTCTCACCTTTGGTCTGAGGTGAAACAGAACCATTCTGACATTTGTTCGTGTAACATCAGGGTGAGGAAGAGTGAAAGTTAAAGTTAAATGATGTGCTGAATGCACAACAGCTGATTGAAGGAAAGGTAAAGATAGTTAAGGTAAAGTGTATCTGAAAATGTGCTCTATTTTACAACAGAGAAATAACCTTAGCTTCCAACATTTTATCATTATCATTAATTACACATTCATTAAAGTTCAGACAGGCCATCTGGATGGTTGTTTTTTGTTTTTTTGGAGACCCTTCATCCAAAGGACTTCATCAGTCCGAGGAGCCACACCAAACTCAGTCCCACAAGCAGCACACACATAGTGGGCCAACCAGTTTAATGGTGATAAGATGGTTTCTGGAGCCTGCCTTCTCCCCCATCAACTCCTCTGAGGCAGCCATAGCCAAAGTGGTTCAAAACATCAAAATTCATGCTCAATAATCTAGGTTAAAAAAAAATCCAACAAATTTCAGTCAAATCATCTGGACGTTGGTTTTTTTTTTTTTTTCAGACGTGTAGTCTATCATCCAAAGGACTTCATCAGTCCGAGTCCACAAGCAGCACACTCACATAGTCCTTGAAGTTATTTGGGTGAAGGATGAAACGTCTCAACAAAAAAATCAACTGTCCAGATGACTTAACTGAAATATATATATATATATATATTTTTTTTACCTGGATTATTGCGCATGAACTTTGATGTTTTGAACCAGTTTAGTTATGGGTGCGTGAGAGGCGTTGACGGAGGAAAGGGTGGACCCCATGAAGCATCTTACCACCAGCAAACTGGCTGACACACCCACACATGCTACTTGTGGGACTGAGTTTGTTGTGACTCCTCGGACTGATGAAGTCCTTTGGATGAAGGATGACATCTAAAAAAAATATAATAAATCCAGATGACATGACTGAAATTTTGTTGGATTTTTTCTACCTGGATTATTGAGCATGATCTTTGATGCATTAATTACAGAATTTTTTCCACACTGTCATTCATTCTCATGAGTTCAACAGTAAATTTCAGGCCACCACAGCTGCTGGTAGTTTACTGTAAAAAGTTCATTTTTACAGTGTAACACTTACAAACCTAACGACAGATTTGTTTTCTCACCACAATGTACAAAGAATACACAGAAGTCAAAAACGTGATGATCTTAATTTTCGACTTTCCACTTCAGAAGGTGTGATTATTGGATGCAGCTTGTGAGGCTCCTCTTGACACGACTGTCTTCACTTTATAACTGGAGGCAAAAATAGAAACACAAAGGGGAGAGATCAGGGGGCACGTGGCAGAAGATTAATCAGGAGCAGGTGGTCTATAAAATGCATTATTCAATAAGAAATAAGAAAAAAAGCATCAAAATAAATAATTTTAACTGTGGTCAGTGTCATTCTGATGTCCTACTTTATAAATCTGATGTTAAGGTTTGAAAAATAGAATCATAAACTATATTATTCAGTTACAGTGACAAATGAAGTCAACTCTAATAACATAAATGTCAGAGTCTGTGAGAATGTCCTTTTGAACAGATGAAACAAACCTGGAGCTCTGTTTCACAGAGCCAAAAATGAAGCAGACAAGGATAATAAATAGGATAATATTTAGCCTTTAATAAGAAAAAAATGTCAGTTATATTTTCACCATTTTATTCATACATTTACAAATGTCAGTTTCCAAACTAAATACTCACCTTGCAAGTTAAATATTTAGTTAGCAAGCTAAATATTTAGCTCCACACTAAATATTTAGTTTATAAAGTAAATGTTTATGTCCAAGATAAATGTTTAGTTTAAAAATTAAATATTTAACTTGCAAGTTAAATATTTAGTGAACCAAATGTTTAGAGGTAAATTAAATATTTAATTTCCAAGCTAATTGTTAATTTTCAAAACTAAACCTTTAATTTCCAAACTAAATATTTATTGTCCAAGCTAAATATTTTTTTTCTAAACTAAATATTAAATTTGCTAATTAAGTATTTGGCTCAGACCTAAATATTTATTGTCCAAAGTAAGCATTTAATTTCCAAAATAAATATTTAATTTGCTGACTAAACATTTAGGTTTGACATAAATATTTAACTTGCTAGCAAAATATTTAGCTTGTAAGTTAAATATTAATTAGTAATTTAAACATTTATCTTGGACATACACATTTAATTTATAAACTCAATATTTAGTGTGGAGCTAAATATTTAGCTTTCTACCTATATATTTAACTTGCAAGTTTAGTATTTAGTTTGTAAACTAAATATTTAACTCCACACTAAATATATAATTTATAAACTAAATGTTTATATCCACGATAAATGTTTAAATGTAATTAAGTTAGTGAATCACATGTTTAGATGTAAATTAAATATTTAATTTCCAAACTAAATATTGTACAAGGTAAATATTTAATTTCTAAACTAAATATTTTATTTCTAAGCTAAACATTAATTCCTAAAATAATATTACATTTGCTAAGTTAATATTTGACTCAGACCTAAAAATTTATTTTCCAAAGTAAAATTTAATTTTCAAAATAAATATTTAGGTAGGACATAAATACTTAACTTGCTAGCTAATTATTTAGCTTGTAAGTTAAACATTTTGTAAATTAAACATTTAGCTTGGACATAAACATTTAGTTTGTAAACTAAATATTTAGTGTGTAGCTAAATATTCAGCTTGCTAATTAAATATTTAACTTGCAAGTTTAGTATTTAGTTTGTATTCTAAATATTTAGCTTGTAAATTAAATATTTAGTTTGGAACTATGACATTTATAAATGTATGAATAACATGGTGAAAATATGACTTTGAAAATAAAACTATTATTTTTCTTATGAAAGGCTAAATAAACCAAAATATTGCTGTGAATTTTTGGCAGTGTAACTTTACAAACAGCACTCCATCAGCTACTACCACACTAAACTTCAGATCAACATCTGTAAAATTGACTTGTAGCTATTTTCTCATTTTAAAGTTCAGCTAGCTGTGGCGGCCATTACGAATGAGGAATGCCTCAGAATGTAACCAGTTGTAGATGTGTATCCATTCCAATGATTAGTTTTTCTAAGCTTTATTAAAATGTATCCAGCAGTTCGTGAGATATTTTGCTAACAGGCAGACGCTGCAAAAACACGATCGCCCTCTGCCTTTTCAGCAGCGGGCGATAATAAAACAATGATCAAAATAAGCTTGTTTCAGATAACTATCATTCAGCCTGAAGAGGTGTCAGGTTTTATGTTTGAAGCTTTTACTCTGAAGGTTGAGTCATCGCGCGGAGCCGCAGCTTCGTGTCTTGACGCATCTCCGTCCTCCTCCTTTGCGCGCGCTGTCACGCAGCGCGGCGGACACATCCTGAGAGCCCGAGCCGCTGCACACAGCAAGGAGCTGCCTGGAAACCAAACGCACAACCAGAGAAGAGACGGGAGGAAAAAAATCCACCCATTTCCGTGAAAGTTATTATTTTTTTCTGTCTCATGGAAGACAGAGTGAGAGGAGACAAACTCAGAGAGAAGACTGCATCCACAGTTTGCTCGTGTTAGTCAGAGCGCGCCTCCGCGGCTCAGATGTGAAGGTGGATTTTGGGATGTGAAGCAGCAGGTAAAAGGTAAGACTTTCATTTAAATAAAAAAAAAAATATATATATATATATATATATATATATATATATATATATATATAACTGCAATCTGTTGCCAAGAGGAGAGGAGATCCCCCTTCACGACTCTCTCATTAACTGCTTGTTAACTCGCAGGGAGAAGAAATAAAAAGGTATTGACACTTGGTTTCATCAGCAGACTGTAGGCGTAGTCCCTGACTGGGAACCAGTTGTGAGGATCTTTTAGGGAGGAAGAGAATTTAATAAATCTGAAACCTGATGAGGTTTATGTGGTGATGAATCATTTGTCAGGATGCTTTAAAAAATGATCAAAACGAGCCTTGGTGAATGGATGAGGAAGATGAAGTGATGCATTTGGGGGGTTTGCACCCTGCTGGATGACACGATGAACACTCATCACATGGCGGATGGATGAAGCCCTCCCTGAGTTGCACAGCAGGTGATGAAACAGGCACTGTGTGAAGTTGGCTGTGCCGGGGGTGAAAGTGGCCCTGCAGTAGAGGGAGCACACTGCTTTGTCCCCCACCCTCCACCCCAGAATCACTGAAAGCCTGCAGGGGTGAGGTACAGTATCTTTCATGTGTGAGTGTCTCCAAAACAACACAACTTTACACACTTTTATCCTGACCTTAAAGGTGCACATTGCAATGTCAAAAAAAAAAAAAAGTACGAAATAAAAAATGTATCTAATTTTTTTTTGTAATAATGTTGGTTAATGTGTCGTTAAATTAAAACATAAGCCAAATTTGTGACCAAATGCCATCTACTAGGGTTTGTTTACCTACGGAAATGTCCAAAGTGACTAAAAATTGGTCACAGTGGTGATGTGTAATACATTTATGGATTGTTGGGTATGAATGATGGTACAGTGGTTGGAGCTGTTGCCTCACACCAATTAAGAAGGTTGCAGTATCGCCTCCTGGTCCTGTGGCCTTTCTGGGTGGAGTCCGTGTGCATGCATTTTTTTTCCCGGTGTACTCCAGTTTCCACCCAAGAACCAAAGCCACTCACGTTTGGTCAGTTGATAAGTAAATTTTCTCTAATCGTGAGTGAAAACATGAATGGTTCTCTCCTTTTTTTTTTTTGAGTGCTCTGTTAAACGCTGCTCTCCAAGCAATTCACTGTCATGTTCCACAATTTTATAACAGATTCACTCTATTTTAATTTAAATGTGATAAACTTGTCCACTTCTGCCAAATTATTTTTTTATACTGACTAAATCCAGCCTAATAAAGATCAGTCACGTGACTCATGCTTCCACACAATTTTAGCCGGGTGCTTTGTTTACAATGAATGCATACCCACATTTCAGAACTGCAGTTTGAAAAGCAACTACTAAAATCTTTCAAACTTCACCATTTAGTTCAGGATGACCCTTTTTTTGTTGGATTTTATCGTTTGCAATGAGTACCTTGTAAGTATGAGAAATGGCGACTGAATTATAAATGAATTACTCCCCAGCTCAGGGACTCTCCGGTCCCATGCCATTTTTTGCCTCTGACTTCCGTGGGCATTAATTGAGTATGGCATGGCTACGGTAATTGTGTGCAAATGTAATCTGGCCCTTCTTATCTTCATAATGGGGAGCAAAGTTCAACAGGAAAAAAAACAAAACAACCAGAGATGGACTTGTGAGCCAAAAATATCAGTGGCAACACTTTGGCGCAATAGTATGATGAGCAAACTGAGCAAGTTTGTACATTTTGAAGCCATAAATCTGGAATATTTGTAATAAAAACTAGAATTTGAAGGAGAAGTTTTGGGGTTGACTCAACTATAGCTTTGGGCTTTCGGTGCCAGCGCCACTCCTCACCAACTCGGAGCAGAAGAGATGCTAATGGAGGGAACAGGGAGGATGCTGGCGTTGTGAGATCGAGAGACAGAGCGAGTCTGCTGGAAGTGTGTGTGGCGTTTCCATGGCAACCAGTCTGGGGTGTGTTTGGTCCCTGGAGATGCCGGAGAACGCAGGGGGAAGAGGAGAGAGAAGAGAGAGGGAGAAGAAAAGTATCCCTCATTAGGAGTGTGAGGGGGAGATGTGTGTGTGTGTGTGTGTGTGTTCGGGTGGGGGACAGAGGAAAGGAGATAATAGAAAAGGGAAAGGTGGGATTGTCTCAGCCCCTCCCTCCTCTCCCACACCTTCCACTTATTCTGCCTTCTTTTGTGCGCTTCATCCAGGTTTCCTCCTTTATTGCACGGTTGGGTGTTGCCGGATTAGATCAGCTTCACGATCGTAACCGTCGTTCAGAGCAGAGGCTTTTTTCTGGATGATCATATCTTCTTTCTCTTTTGTTTAAACCAAGCTCTGCTCAATTTACATATTTGTATTTCATCCATGGTCGTAGGAGACTTTCAGATTAAAATAGTCACAACAAGTGCTTTCTTCTGCTTTTGCATTCTGTTACCTGGCTCCCATGACACAGTCCTCAGGTCATAAAACGTATGTAAAATATTGCAATTATTAAGCAAAAAACTCTCAATTAGTCCCTTTTTTTGCCTCGAAAACTAAAGAGTTATGATGCCACCCTTAGCTGGCTGAACAGAAGCCAGCTGGTTGCTTCTTGGCACTTTAGCTTCCCTCAGATGGAGCCAATAATGGCGACAAGCAATGCCAATGATTAGGGTTTTATGTGGCGAGTGTTAAGCTCTGTTTTGCTTCGACTGGTTTAATTTATTTGCATTAGGTGGATTAGATAAGAAATCCATCTTAATGCAAAAGTAACACCAGCACAAACACAAAAGCTCATGGATTGATTGTGTAAACTTTGTATCATGAAGGAATAAATGATAAATGTTGCAGCAACAAGTGGGACCAAAGGATATTTTCCCCTTTATTATTCATGGGGTGGCAGCATTTCAATAAAATGCAGGCTTATTTGTTTTACACATAATTATAGCAGGTGAAAGAAAGAAGAAATAAATACATCATCTGACTCAACCGAAATAGAATAAATCCATTTAAAGAAGAGTAACAGTTACAGCCAAATCAAGGACTACAGTGTATAACATGAAGCATTCAGGGAAGACTTTGTGAGAAATAAATATTAGGTTTGTGTTCATGTTTAGTAAATATTTAGCAAATTCTGGTCTGGTAAACTGTGAGGCTGTTGTGTCATAAACGACAGCACAACAATACCACTGCTTTTCAACAGGGGGCGCCACAACAGTCAAAGACAAGCAACAGTAAGGGCACTAAATGAAGAAGAACAACAGCGACGTCTATTCTGAGGCAATATGATGCGAGGAAATTTTATTTTTTATTTTTTTTACATTTACACAGTTTATGACACTTCAACTGCAAGGTTCGATAAATTATTACAAATTTTAATTGAGAAATTGATCAAACTTTAGTTTTTTAAAATAGCTAACAGAAACATACATTATCGCCACCTGTTGGGCAATAATTTAATTAACTACGAGGGAAGGATGCTGATCTAAAACTAGTGAATTTGAGTGCATGCACATCCAGTAAATCCAAATGACTTGACACAAAGGGACACAGAAATCTCATTAAAAGACTGATTCTGCTTAGGTACAATAGTTTTACTTATAAACCAGTGAAGTTTTCAAACTCCGCAGCACCAAATATAAATTTTGTTAATGCAATTTTCAAAAAAGCCCCAAAACATTTGATGAAAAATGCATACATTATTACTGCATTCATGAGAATCAAATTATTATAATGGCAGTCAGTTTGACAATGAACAGCCTTTGACAGGAAATGCTGCCTGGTTTAACATTTTAATTGAGGCACAAATATTACTTAGGACTTTATACATTCTTTACATATTGTAAAACTGCAGTTTTCAAAAGTAAATACATGCAATGAAAACAGTGAAAACTATTTTTTTATTTAGTTCTTTCAAAATCCAATAATCTTTAATTTCTTTAAAGTTGCCTCCTTTTAGTGTCTGCCACAAAGATTAGGGTTAGACACCTCCTGGCACTTAGGTTTTAAACATTTTCACATAATTTGTGCAACAAATTTTCTCTCAAATTATTAGAGTTGGTGCTGGTATCTCTTACCCATCTCAGTTTTATCGTGGGTGTCTTCAGGCTGTTTTAAGAGCGTTAGAGTTTTATTTTGACACGTGCATGTGTGTTCTCGGACAGAAAACATCTGAGGTTACAGCTCCAAGTATCCAGGTCTAAAAATTACTTGGGTGATCAATAATTATAAAACTGGTTCAAATTTGTGGGCTGAGGCAGGTACAATGGGAGCAAAATAATGTGCATGACCTAGAATACACTGTAAAAAGCTACTTACATAAAAATAAGTTGTGATTTTTAACAAATGGCCACACAAAATGTGTCTGCACAGCTTGCTGGTCACTTGTCTGTTCAAATTTAGTGAGACTGCAACAGAAAATTTGTCTATTTTCTCACGATTTTCCCACAATTTAGAGTCACAAACAAGTCAGCAGTTGCAACTTGTTTTCTTTTGAAGTTTCGGATATTAATTCAGGGACAACTTGGCTAAGAAATATGTTAAAATCACCTGTTAGTACTAAAATATTTTTAGGAATTAAATTTGTGCACTGTAAATATTTTCTTCATATTACTTCCTAGATGATTTAGAAAATGTTCATGTCCAAATGTCCCCCATCATTTATTAGTCACTGCTAACAAAAAACTCAGTCTTATACTGTAATTTAACTGCTCCTTTTTAGTTTTAATACAGCTGAACAAAACTTAAAAATGTAATTGTGAACCTTTTTATTGCTCCAATGTTTGCAGAAAATTACCAGTTAATAACAGTTGGTTATAATTTCATGTTTGTAGAAAGCCAATTTTATGGCTAACTAAAGTCATTATCCGTGCTTGTTTGTGTTTTGTGTAATTTAAATTAAAAAGTTTCATTGTGGAAGCTGAAATGTCTTTTTATATGATGCCCCATTATATTCACAAAGTGAGAGGCAATTATCTCTTTTTAGTAAATTAGAATCATTACACAGGCACAAACTAAAGCTCCGTAATGTTTGTTTTTATGT